CACCACTGGTTCAGACTCAGTCAGTACAATCTGAGCCTTCACACCTGTAAATAAAGAGGTAGAGCAGACATTTAGATGAGCACAAAGAAATGCAGAGAGAAAGAGAGAGAGAGAGAGGAGAGAGACAGGGACCTGAGAGAGCCAGTGCTGTGAGGGTGAGCAGGGCTGGTAGGAGCTTCATGGCTGCAGGACAGAGGGAGGAGCACTGAGGTAAAGTACACACTGAGTCCCAGTGACTGCTGCTCTCTGTCACACACTGACACTGGCTCCTTTAAAAGCTATGGCAAGTTTGTACAGGATCCTCCTCTGATGGGCGTGGGGCGGGTCATGGGAGGAAATGGTCACATGATAAAGAGATTAATCTGTTATGTAAAGCCTTATTATACAAACATTATATTTGTGCAATTCAGTCCACAAGCGATAATCACACTCTTTTTGTAGTATCCAAAATCTAATTCAAGTATAACGTCAATGTCAAAATTCATTTTAAAATTCATTAATAGGTAATAGTGTATTGTAAATTTGCGTTATTCAGTGTTGTGCAAGTTTAAGATTTTTTTTTTCTTTAGTTGGTCAATGTGTCACTGCACTGCCTGCATTTATTGTCACACATGTTTTGGTTCCTGCTGGAACTGCATTGATTGTTTTTTGGTTTGATAACACTGGGCAACAAAGATTTTGTAACAAAACCAACATGATTTTTAATGGATTTTTTAATGCTGATTTCAGAAATGAACTCAGAATTTTGCTATTAGGGATAGTTTGTGAGTGATATCATTTTTACGATATATTAATAGCATATAATTCCTTAAGAATGTATGGGTATATTAAAGTTCAGTTTATGAAAAATGATTTTATTTATATTAGTGAACATTTTGTCAGACTTCACAGAAGGGCACAAAGTCCTGTAAGTTTGTTTTGCCAGAGTCTACAGGCTGTACATGGATGGAGATGTTGGGACAGGATCCTGCCATTCAGTGATCAGTTCCCAGCCAGTTTCTGATCAGTCCTCAAAGGGCAAACATCTATGTGCTGTGTTGTGTTTCTCACGTATGCATTTGTTTTACATTACTGTATGTTTTTAGTTCTTTTAAACAATGCTGCATGATGCCAAGAAAATGTGAGAATCACCCAGATTCTTTATGCTACATTTGTTGCGAGTCAACATTTAAAACTATAGAAATGTGGTTTCACCCCACTCACTACAAAAAATATTCAGAGCATTATTTTGGCTGCATTTTAGGTGACCAAGTTAAGCGTTATGCCCCTCATATTTGCTGTGTACTTGTGTCACTTAAATACATGGGACATATCAGACTGACGGAAAACAGCTGGTCACAATCGGTCAGGTCACTGACAGGTCATGACAGTTACCCACTGAGCCACCATTTTGTCCCCTTTTCATATCAAAAACAAAATATTAATATTTACTCTATGACACACAAGCTTTTTGATTGACTGGCATCCTATCCATGGTGTCCCCAGCCTTGTACCCTAAGTGACCTAAGAGTTCATTGACAAGGTGCACAGACAGAGGCAGAAGGTCACAGCCAACCTGCACACACCCACATGGCAGGTCTTCTGCCT